TAATACATAACTGCAACAACACGCATGTTGACGACTTGCGTTAGTATACACAGTGCATTCGGTACGTTTTTGAAACATGATTAGAAAATTGTTGACTGGAGGCTATTACAGAAGTTTTTAAAATTTTCGCGTATCACCGCCTTTTCTGTAAATGGGGTGAATATTGTTATCCATTTAATTTTTTTTCACAATTAGTTAAATAATTCCTGCTGGTATTTGGTCTAAGTCTACTTCTTTTCTTCATTCAAGGTGTTTCATAGGTCATTCTACTTCCTCTGTATGGTGCCTTGTATATCTGTTTTGGTAATTTTCGGCTATTTCATCTCTTATAACAAAAAACAGTTGTTTCGGATATCTTTATCGCGTTTCCTTTTTTTATGGATGAATATGCTGCCATTTTCATCGTCTACTATTTCATATGGAGCTACACGATCAATAATTCCAAATCAAGAAAACACACAAATAACACTCCGGATTATGTTATATAACTAATAGTCGGAAAATGAAGAGCCAGAGGTAGATGGCAAAGAAGCCAAAATCCTAATGACAAACACACATATAATCGACTAATCGGACAATTAAGATCAGCGCTACATGATGCATGCAATGCCACATTTGAATACTACATTAGTACATTGTCTAAAGATCATTCAGTATGGATAGTAACAAAAACCCTTAAAGAGACCTAAAGAACACAACTCACCAATTAAAAAAGATAACGTTAGTTGAGGAAGATCAGACCAAAAAAAAGTCAATATTTTCAGAATACTTGGCTAGTATTTTTAAAATATACCAACCAGATAATAATAATCAAGCAATAGAACACTGAAAACTTTTGTTTTTAACTGTCCGCCCGTGAATGACTTGCCATTCTATGAAACGTGAAACTATGAAAATAGACCTTGGCAAAGGTGTGAGACAGGGCGACACCATCTCACCCAAGTTATTTACTTTGGCATTAGAAAATGTTTTCAAACAACTAAATTGGGCCGAAAATGGATTAAAAATAGATGGAGAATATCTTAACCATTTGCGTTTTGCAGACGACATAGTACTAATAAGCACAGATATCCATGAACTAAAATCAATGCTACAAGATTTAAATCACAAATCGAATCAAATAGGATTAAAAATGAATCTCGACAAAACAAAGATATTAAGCAACAGCCTAGAAAACATCACGATAGATAACATCAATATAGAAAAGGTAGAACAATATATATATATATATATATATATATATATATATATATATATATATATATATATATATATATATATATATATATATATATATCTAGGACATGCAATTAAAAACGAAAAGGAAAATCAAACCCTAGAAATTAAAAGAAGGACACAAATATCATGGGCTGCTTTTGGTAAGTTGAGCTTCATTTTAAAAGACAGAAAAATCCCAATTCACTTAAAACGAAAAACCTATGACACTTGTATACTACCAGTTGCAACTTATGGATTGGAAACTATGGCAATAACAAGAAAAATGGCAGAACAATTAAGAGTAACTCAACGGGCCATGGAGAGGGCCATGTTAAATATAAGCCTCAGAGACAAAATTTCTAACACCGAAATACGTCAAAGAACTAAAGTAACCGACATCATGGAAAAAATAGCGACATTGAGATGACAATGGGTAGCACATGTAGCAAGACAAGACACCAACAGATGGTCTCATAAAGTGACATTCTGGAGACCTCGAGAAACAAAAAGAAGCGTGGGAAGACCTAAAAAGAGATGGATAGACGATATAACTGCTGTAGCTGGAAAGCAGTGGATGAGAATTGCAAAAGATAGGGAAGCGTGGAAGCAATTGGAGGAGGCCTATGTCCAACATTGGATAAATGAAGGCTGAAGAAGAGAAGAAGAATACATTATTAAAGTGTGGTATATTTCACATAGATCACAAAGTTATCCAATTTGTTTATCCCAAAGAGCGATTATCTAAACGACTGTACTTGCCCAGATAGTCACTCTGTACTCTGTATACACACGTGTATTCTGTAAATCAAACTCGCTTTTATAAGAGTTCATACTTTCAACGGAAAAATTTAGTAAGATAGGTCAAAATAGCACAATTCTTATTATTTGGATCAGCTACCCTAGTAAAGAAATGAAGGTTCTACGTGCCACAGAAGCCGAGATATTAAATATTTTGCAAGCGTGCTTCAATTTAAAGTCCGAATCTTAAAAAAAAACAAGCTCAGACAGTTCTTACCTCCGTTGTACTTTTCCGTGGCGGTAATTTACGAATACCATTAGTTTAATGGGTTATAACATTTTACTCCTTTACTGCGTAAGCCCTCCATAACTTCGATCATATATTATAAATCTTAATTCAAAATCCTTTAAATTTTGGGATCTTGTATTAATAAACAATGAAAATATGATTTTAGGAATTAAATGTTATCTTAGTTCTTATTGGTTAAATATGGTTCTGTTTTTGTCTCTTTGTTTTCTTATAAGCCATTAAGATTGCAAATTACAAAATACTTGTACATACAAGTATTGGACAAGTTCAAAGTGATTTGCTTAATATTTAGCACACCTTAAAAACCCATTAATTGCCATAATTTGAAGTAGCTATATTATCTGCCGTTGGGCAAAAAATTCAATTATTACCATTTATAAATTACATAATAATTACACATAATTACATAATATTTTAGAGTTTAGGGTTTTTTGCAATTACCTCGCTCAATTAATTATATATTTTAATTTGGTATCCCTCAACATAAAAAACCTTTTATGGTCTACAACTTTTATTTGAATCATTTTTCTTTAGAATGTAAAAAAACGTTTTACAAGCACGTTTTAAAGATACAAAACATTTTTTTTTGTATCTTTTAAAATTGTTTAAAAAAATAACAAAGCATAATCAACTGTACATCCTTACGAATTTTCATCAGCTATCTCTCATACTATTTAGAATTTAAATAACCGTAGATTTTTGAAAACTATTTACCGAGGTTCTGTGAAATACTTTCTTGTTGCATGGTTAAGTTAAATATTATTTTTTTATGTATATTATGTATATAAAAATGTAATATTAATTACATTTTTAATTAACCAATATTTATTGATTATTGTACAAATTATCTAAAATGTGTATACACATTTTGTACAAAAAAACGTTTTTGAGAACGATTTCCGGAATGGAAATCAAAATGTCAAACACAAGTTAATTAAAAATGTGATTCTTATCACAATTACAACCAATAATTGAGGCGTAATCCCATAAAAACATAATATTTACCTCAAACTATTCACCGATAGCTTGGATTAAACAGGTTGTAAATTGAAATTTATGTAAAATATTCCCCTACACAATTCTCTGGGAAAAAAATTCTACCTTAAATAAATATACCTAACATTTAGACAAAGAAAAAACCAGTTAAGACCGCAACTTGTTAGCAGGTCGTTGGCAGGCTGACCGAAAACGGATCGATATTTATGTACCTAGATATTATTTTAAGTATTAATACCGGCAACATCTATTGGCTTTAAAATGATAGCAAATACAGTGATTTTAAATGATCGATGTTAAAACGTAGGATTGATGTAAAAAATTAAATATATAAAAAAAACAGAATATTGAAAAACCGACAACGCTGCTAAGCCAACAGAGGTGCACTAAACGAACATACACGACTTATATATAGAAAATAATAGATTTTCTTGGTGATGCTAAATTACTGCAACGTGAAAGGAGTTTAAAATGATGGCGGGATATATATATATATATATATATATATATATATATATATATATATATATATAATAACGTAATAATTAAACCTAAACCCCAGATATACATATAAAATATATATATATATATATATATATATATATATATATATATATATATATATATATAAAATAAGCCAAATATTATGGCAATGCAGCACAAATTAGTAAAATTTTTCACGTCTGAATCGGAATCAATAGAACGATATAACTGTTATACGATATAACTGTTCTTTCGGTATTTCTATCTCCTCACCTGATTCATATTCAAACCGAAATATTCAACGAAGGTCTCCAAAATTTTCCCGCACAGAGGTGTCATCTACTTTGACGGAAAGGTACGAGAACGATTTAGTAAAATAGTTCTCCGTTCCTCTGTGCTATTGAAATATGCAAACGATTGGAACTTTCAGCAAAAGCTTGCCACTGCTCTGATGAAATAATCCAAATATTATCGCAAATTTTTCACCTTCTATGTTGCAATTCCTAGAAATCAGTGTTTCTTGTCAAACTGATATCTGCCGTTTATCTATCTGTCATTCATCTATTATTTTTCTATTAATCATATCCTTACACACCACATGCGCTGTTTTTCATTACATGACAAGCACATTCAAGCTATAATAATGTACTTATTTTAAATGGAACATGTATTTTACTATTCTGTCGTGTGGTAAATTTACTTAGCTTTCAAACTATACATATATCTTTTCAAATCGAGGGAAAGAGAGGCCTAAGAGAGGCCTAGGAAGGAAAAGACTATCATGGCTCAGAAACATCCGACAATGGACAGGGCTAAATTTTGAACAGCTAATAGAACAGCTGAAGATAGAGAAGAGTTTAAAATTGTAGTAGCCAACCTCCATTGAGGAGAGGGCACTTTAAGAAGAAGAAGAAGAATATCTTTTACTTTTGGGGTTATTTCCTAAGTTACCTTTAATACTTTACTTTTTTTATTTTTAACATGACCTAATCAATAAATTACAGTCAATATAAATATTTTAGTTGAAAATAGTAAAAAGCAATATTCAATAATATAGTAGCAAGCAATAAATTGTGACCAACCATTAAAAAAAGGTTATTCCAAGACCTGCTCTAATAACTTTTTTTCTTCGATGGCTCTGCAGATTACTTATTATATATTTACAAATTACCTCATACAGTCCAGCGCGTAAGATCTGGAACTTGCTATAGATAATATTTAATTTAAAAACGGAAGTTTTAAGTATACCAATTACCTAAAATTTGTCTAACTTCTATATCAGCTTCTTCTTTCGAGGCAAAAGCTGTATGGCCCTCTTGCCACAAAAATTCTCTAGTTCGTAGGAATGGTTGCGGATGTTTAAACTCCCATCTCTGAAATAAAAAAAATACTTCCATTGTCTAAATCCATAACAGTGAGTTAAAGGGGCGACAATATGAACAATACAAAAAGTTTATGAACTTTCACTCGGAAGTCAACAGTTTTGATCACCAAAAGTAAATATGATTAAGCAATAGTTACTTCAAGCAAATAGCATTTCTTAATGTTATAATTTCTTTTAAATGTAACTAGGAGCTCCTAAATTTGTTTTTGTTGAAGAACAATACCGTATATTGGAGAAATCAATGTTCACTCACAGCAGAATACAAATTATAATAATAGTCTTTCTTTATAATGCTCGTGTGGTTTTGGGATTATAGAGGGGTAATATAGTTTATTCCACAAATATATGACTGTTTTGGATTATTGCGACAACGAATATTTTACTGTGCAAATAGAAGTATGAAAGTAAATTATTCTAATCATTATTCAAATAAAAAGGATCTATTGTTATTGTCTATTCACTTAGCTAGGGCATATTTTGACAGACTCATTGTCGGAAACCTACAACACAACAATTCCTACTTCTCAGTATTAATAGCTCAAGTGTACTACTATTGAAGACTTCTTTCTTTGAAAAAAAGAAGAATTATTCTAAATAGTGGAAGTGTATATTAAACCCATCAAATTTTCCCTGTATATTTAAAATATAATATTTGAATTGTTACAATTTAAAATATTGTAGTAAATCTTTGTATTATTCGCGTTGTTAATTTAATTTAATATAGTTTTATTGTTTTATTATCTTTGTTTAATTCTTTTGTTAGTTCTATTCAGTTAATTAGTTAGTTATATTTTAAATTTTATTATTATGGATAGTCAAAGTTTTCCATTTGTTCCATCAGCTAATGTGTTGGTAAGTTTTTCTTAATAAACATGATAAAATGTTTTTTAAAAGTTATTATTTTTAGATTAGTTGTTTCTAATTTAATATAAACTTGTTTATACCTACATGGAGGTTCTTGTTGTTTGTTTGGGTTTATATGACTGCAGACTGCGGCCAGGATACTGAATTCATTAACCATATGTGGAAGATTTTAACATCCTCAAATGCTAATGAGCAAAAATTACTATTGAACCACGAATTTGCCTAGTCAAATTACTAATATTTGCTTTTAGCATATGGAAGTACACTTATTTTGTAAGATAATAAAACAACAGTTTATGTTAATGCTATTCAATGAACATAAGGAACTTGCTGTGTCTTATTTAACCTCACTTTGACTTTTTAATTTTGTAGAATTTATTCCCACTTTTTTTATTTTGTACCCACAATAAATAATTTTATAATTTGTTATCAATACATAATTATACATACGGTGTAAATAAATAAATATTGATTGTCGGCAAAGTTATTCCCACTTTTTAGAATTTATTCCCACTTTTTTTATTTTGTACCCACAATAAATAATTTTATAAAATTGTTATCAATACATAATTATACTTACGTGTAAATAAATAAATATTGATTGTCGGCAAAGTTCTATTTTATTTACTTTTGTTTACATTAATATTGACTAAGAGCACGTATGCTTGGTTGTATAGTAATTTCCAGCCACTTCGAGTCGGTCAAAAAGTAACTAACTTCGCAAAAAAATAATTACTAAAATCACTAGACAGTTCGGACTGGGAATAGCGAACCGGGTATAGTATGACATCTAAACTGTAATTATTTCAGTTAATAAATGTTCAGATGCAAAATTTATTGTGAAATTTAATCCGAAAATAACAAAAATTTTTTCGCAAACGCTCCTACAAATAAATACTTTGACGTCTATGAAGCCAAATGTGTCCGTCAGACATTTGTGTTGGTTTCGGTGAAATGTAAACACCAAAGAAGTGTGCCGGGCGGGCTTCTTTGATATTACACTATATTATTATTATATCAGGTACTACAACTGTGATAAAAAGAAAAATAAAAAAGAATATAATATTTCACTTTGTTAGTTTGAAATATTTGTTTGCTTTGAGTGGATGTACTCTTAAAAGTTTTCTAAGTAACGGGTATAACATAGCAGCTATTGATAGATTGAAGTACTGAGTCGTTGCAGATATTAAAAAGTAACGAAAATTTACATACAGTTTCATATATCGCCCACTGATTTTAGTTTTAAAAACCGTCCATATAGGAGATTAGGAGAATAAAAGAATATGTAAGTTTTAAGTTTGAATATTCGACTTAATATCATGACTTCATATTTAAATCTAAGGTTTATATCTGTCATAACAGTATTTTAAAAATTGGGAGAATTTACTATAGTACAATTCAGCACAATGGACCATTTAAATCGATACCTTACACCGAATTTAAAACAGTCGAATATTCGTGAATGGAGTATAATTATGCTATCTTTTGGGCATACGGTATACAAGAAAGGTAATGGAGACAGTGCTAAGCTTCAATCGCCTATTATTACCCCTAGTTTTCGATTCATTGTTTGGTTTGTAATAGTTTGTGTTTTTCTTGTATGGATGTTCTAGAAGTTCCGTTTAGATGACTTTGTCGCCTCTTCAAGGCGTGTTAGTGTTTTTTGGATGGCGGCACTGGTTTCTGGTTGTTGGTCCTGGTGGTGGTTTGTTGGTGCCTTCGGAGGACGGTGTCTTCAGATGAGAAAGGCCTTGATAACGGTTCTTTTCAGAATTGTGTTGGGTTATTGTTAATGACTGAATTAAATGATTATAATAGATAGGGAACCAGAAAACTGGAATACCTAGGCCACGTGATGAGGGGATCAAAATATGAAATTTTGAGACTCATAATACAGGGAAAGATTCAAGGAAGAAGATATGTTTTCCGAAGGCAGAACTCATGATTAAAGAATCTACGTGATTGATATCAATGCAGATCGATTGATTTGTTTAGAGCAGCAAGTTCTAAAATAAAAATAACCATTATGATTGCCAACCTCTGTAGGGAGACGGCACTCTAAAAAGGAGAATAGAATGGATTTATTTCTAGATTTTGGCACTGGTGTTCGCATTGATGGTAGCTGTGGCTGTAAGCTCTACATGGACAGGTAAAATCGTGTAATGGATTCGGCAAAACGACAGAAACCCGATCTCTGACTGTTCATGTGCAAAGCTCGAAGTGAGCTTTTTATATAGGTGTTCGGTAAAAAAGAACTGTTGCCTCCAGGGTGTCGACGTACCCGATAGGAAGTTCGTTTTCAGTAGTTTTGTGGGTAGGAAGGGTAGTTTTCTTTTCGGATGTCTGACGATGGGATGCCTGTTTTTACTCAAGATACTCATTTTAAGGCTGTGTTGACTATTTTAGTGACTGATTTTATGACTGTGGGGTTATTTTAAAAATATCTAGATTTCTTCAACAAAGAAAAATTACAAAATCTAAAAATAAGAATAAATTGTTCTACCTATCAGAATAAAAACTTCCAACGCTGAAAATATACACAATATTATACTTACAACAACATTGTTCCATTGATTTAGTTTAATAGGAAGGTCACGATATGACTGAATCCATTTTGCATATGCCGGATACATTACAGTTTCAGATGTTGGCCTAACTGCAATAGGTTCTGCCATATCTGAATCACCCGATTTGGTAACCCATGCAACCTGAAAAGATATATATTTAAACGTTTCAAAGTAAAGCAGTAAAAGTATTATTATAAATCTAGTAGATATTATACAAAACGTAAATGAATAATTAGAAATAAGAAGTAATTAATTTAAAATGAATTTACCTCTGGAGCAAAGTCTTCAATATGAGTCTTCTCCTTTTCTAAGGCAGCTTTGGAAACAAATATTGGAAAATAGCAATTTTGAACACCTAGTTTCTTAATTTCGGAATCAAACCAATCTTTGATAGCTTCCCATATCGCGAATGACCATGGTCTAAAAATGTAACATCCAGAAACATCGTAATATTCTATTAGTTCTCCTTTTGTAATAACTTGAGAATACCAGTCTGACAATTGTTCTTCTTTTTTTGCTTCCAGACCAAGTCGAGTTTGCCGTTTAGCACCACTATCATCGACCTGAAAAACATTTTACCAATTGTAAAATTTTATATTACATTATACGGAGTGATAAACTTTTTAGACAAAATCTGTTATATCTGTTAGTATTATAAGAGATGCCAAAAAAAGTTTTTACAACAATAGGAGGTAGCTCTAAGCTTCACATTTTAAAATTAATTATAAACACATAGGGTCTTCCACTGTACCGCATCAAAGATATGTTCGAATATAAGTCAAAACGCAAATACATTATTTTCTTGGAGATTTTAAACTGATCAGCCTATATTTTGTATCACTATCGAAAAGTACTATTACCATACTTCAATTTTATGAAGTTATTAGTTTTTAAAGTCAATACTTCTCATCGATCGGTATGTTTTTGCACAGGTCCGAAATAATATTTAGCGTGACTCAAAAAATCGAAATACGTGCGGTATACAGTAATATACGTACATAAAGATCATCCGCTGAATCTTTGAACAAGGATGACATTATTCACGAATTATCTTTTATATTATGTCTCTTTCTTTCTCAGAGAAACTAAAATTATTAACTTAAGCCGCCTGTCTAAACACAACACCATGCATCGAACAATCTACTGACAATTGATAATTGTAAATTTTGTTGTGACATAGTATATAGTGTGTTTATAAATTATTTTCGCTTGATTTTCCTCTTCCATCGATGTGCGCTAGAGGAGGAAGGCCTACGACCGTATAAAATAGCAGCCGCCGCATGAAAAAGGAGAGTAAAAATCAGTAGATCATATCAAAGTTCGAGACCGAGGATCGAGAAACACAAACGTACCAATCTAAATTTGATTGATTTTAATGCCGTCATAATACCGACTATAGCGAAAAACATTCGGACGGCGATTTAAGTGCAGCAGAAGATGAAGAAAAAAAAAGCGACGAAGAGGACACCGAAGATAAAGGACGCAAGAGTAGTCACTCTAACTCGGAATTTGTAGAAGATGCGAAAAGAATCCGCGTTAGAGGAATCCTAAAAGGCAAATGCGAAAGAATACGAGGAAATGGCTCGTGCAATCGACAAAATCAACAACATCGTTGTCTTACAGTACGAGAAACATAATATGAGAATGGACGTAATGCAACAATAGATGCAGGAACTCCAGAACATAATAAAAGCCAAGGAGAAGGAAAACAAACGCCCTACGACAGGATCCTAACCCTGATGGATTAGGATCTTGGAACAGAAACGGTGCAAGAGATGGAAACAGGATGCCGACTGGCAAACTCAATAAAAAAATATATACCAAAGCTAAGGTGGAGGAGGAATCTAAAATAAGTATTGCTGAAAAGCAGACTAAAAAAATACAACGAAAGGAAAAGGAGATAGATAAATCAATCCAAGAAAGAGAAATAAAAAGTAAAACTAAGGAAACGAAGGAAGCACAACCGAGCCTAAGCAAAACTGTGAAAAAACAAACCGAAAAGGATAAAACACACAGCGACAGCAACTCAAAAAGCATTACCAAAACCACAGGCAATTATCGTGAAGTCAGTTGGTGAACAGCAATGACTACAGCAAGCATCACGCACAAATATCTTTTCGGTAAACAAATTTGCAAAGTAAAAAGACTAAAAAAAGAGTAGAAAACTACAAAATCACAGGAATGAAAGTTGGGACACCTATATCCAGGATCTAAACCCGAATAAATCCGCGTTCTGTAAGCTATCCAAAATACCTTGTAAGGATAAAAAACCAATTCCACCACTACACGGGAAAAATGGAATAGTATTTAGACAAGGCGGAAGTCGTAAAAGACGAAATAGAAAGTGCGTGTAAAAATGATGAACACCCATATGAAAACATCGACTTCACCGAAGAACAGAAGCCAGAATAGATAAAACAGATAGAAAGAACAGCTAGAAGACTAAAAAGAAGAAGGGACAGAATATGTTTAACACATACTTCCCCTGAAAAAGTCAAACAATTGATAAAGATGACCAACGCGAAAAAAGCACCAGGACCGGATAATATCACCTATACATTACTAACCTTTGTTTCAAGTTAAGAAAATAACATTACGCTTATGGAAATCAATGTTGCCAAAATTCTCAAGCACTCTCTTTTGCACGGATGTCAATTAACATTTAACTGTAAAGTCAGAATAACTACTAAATAAAAGCCTTATTATCATTATGTAGTCAGAGAACGACATAAAATCGCTGACATATGCACATCGTATTATTTTAAGTTGCAATTAGTAATTAGATATACGCATTCCAAGTGGTCCGTTTATTTGCTTTTAAAACTTTAATAGGCGGCAAAATGCATGATTTAACTAGCAATATTTTCTACTGATTTCTATGATTTATGGCATATGGTATTCTCACCGAAAAATAAATAAACTGTCGTTACTATAATTAAAATAAGATAAAATAAAATTATCTTTTATAAATACTATTTATCTAATTAAAATCATTTTGCCTACTTTTCATCTCTTGTTTCGAATGGGCACTTTTGGTCAATTACGTTAAAAAACATTAATTTAATTCATGTCTGTGGAAACGAACATACAAATTATACAACCCTAAACTGTGCTTGTGTGTGTCGTGGCAACTCCGCGTTTCTATCGTCCATAAGAAATACATGGCCCTATCTCCGCAATGTTATTTTCTTAACGTGGAACGTAGTATAGTATAATAAATAGCATGGTAAGACTAAGATACTTCCCAGACAGATGGAAAGAAGCTCATGTAATTATGATCGCAAAACCGGGGAAAAACGGACCTTCCCACAAAACTACAGATATATCAGCTTATTATCATCAATAAACAAAATAGCAGAAAAAGTCATCCTATCCAGACTCAATGAGGAATCCAAGGCTCTGGGAACTATACCAGAAGGGCTTTAGTTCAGTTCGGCTTCAGATCAGACCACTACTGCGTGATACTGGTAATAAGACTGACGAAATACATCACCAAGGGATACAACGGGAAGATGTATGGAGCAGCGGCTTTTCCCGATGTGAGTAAAGATTTCGATAGAGTCTGGCATCAAGGCCTGTTCTACAAAATTAATAATTTGGGCTACAGTAAGGCGATGATATGTCTCCTTGCGTCATACCTGGCGAACAGAAGGTTCAGAGTTCGGATAGGGCCAACCCTGTTGGCCCTATCCGAACCGGAGCCCTGGAAGCCCGGAGCTCGGAGCCCTGGAAGCCCGAGTGGAGCAGGGGGTGGTGTTGTCGCCTTACCTATACATAATCCACACGGCTGATACTCCCAACAGATCCCAGAACACTGTTGAGCCTGTACACGGACGATACAGCTATCGCAGCCAGCAGCAGAGACACAAACCTAACAACCAGTCATCTACAAAGAGCACTAAATAGTTTCCATAGCTGGTTGTGCGTTAAGTGAAAGATTGCCTTAAACCACGACAAAACACCGAAATATCGAACCAGATAGGGAAATCACCATAGCAAATAATCTTGTAGAATCGACAGGAGTGTTTGGGAAAAGTCAAGTGAAATACCTCGGAGTGATAATTGACAGGAAGCTGACATTCACCGAACACGTGAAGCAAGCGGTCTAAAAAGCAAAGGCAGTAAGAGGTCAACTCTCTTCGCTAATAGATAGAAGGAGTAAATGACGTTTTAAAAAAAAAAAAAAACAAAAATTAAAGTAGCTAACAGCGTAATACTAGCTTCACTAACATACGCCTCTGCCGCATGGAGACACACATGCAAGAGTAATACGAAGAAAACCTAAACAGCCCAGAACTTCATGATTACACACTCTGGGCAGAAAAGAATCCTTAGGACAATGGATAATAGAGCCTATGAAATATTTAACGAACCAGGAACCACCACAACAGGAAACTAAGAGAGTTGACGGATTGCGACGAAAACACAAGGATGGTACATAGACGGCTGAAGCAACAGATAGCCGGATATAGGGAAGAAGGAGAACAATGAAGACTGAGTCAAACAGGTGACAGTGTACGTCAAAGATTTAAAACCGTGGGAGGGGAAGGCACCTCCAAAGAAACCCTATCCCCATCTGAGAGACAGTACTTAAGCAGCGAATTCTGGAATCAGAACTCAGTTTAACCAACAATCAGTCACGGTAGACATTCCCGAAGAGATGAGCCCATTAGGAACACCAGAGACACCTAAGCTGCCTGTCACGCCAGGAAAAGAAGCGGAACGCATCCTCAACAGGTTTCACCAGCTATTTGGTACGCCACCATCACCACCAAGGAAGCGCCGCGCTGACGACATTCCGACAGGACCTGAAGCAGCAGCAATGATGACTCCGGGGGAACCAAAACCAGAAAACAATTCCAACTTGCCGAAAATCAACCCAAAAGAAATGGTGGAAAAGGAGATAAAGAACTTCCGGGTGACCTGCAACAACGGCAGAAGAATAAAAATCAAGTCGCCACGAAGGGTGAATGGGATCACGCCGTTGTAGGCTCCACGCCACAAAAAAGGTATGATACATTTTAGAGAATAGGGTACAACGATATGCATCGCCTCGGTTCCGTCAGCGCTACATACACACGCATTCCCAGTTCCTCTTCCAACGATGTGCGGTAGAGGAGATGAAAAGCCTTCGACAGTATAAAAGAGCAGCCTTCACAAGAGAGAGTTCCGTCGTAGTATTGATCTATGGTCCTAGGGTATTGACAGAAGGCCAACCGCTTCTGCTAGTGTATTGATCTAGTGGCAGTTCCGTTCCCGGACTTGGAGTATTGATCTGAGACAGAGCTATTCTTTCCTGTGATTGAGTACTGATTATTCACCGTCCGTTCCGATTGTTGATTGGCCCGTTCCATCTGTATTCCTTCGATCCGACCCTTCCGAAGTGTGAATTAACACACCGTAATAACCGTTTATATTTTATAACATTAATTGTATTTTATTTTTCGTAGGTATTAAACAGTGAGTCATATCGCCGTCGCCAGAATTGACGTTTTAATTTTTATTTTATATATTACCTAGGATCTAATTTTATTTTGTTAGTTATTTACTTCGAATATACTTT